AGTGTATATCTCATATTTAAGAAAAAATCGATAAATAACCAAAAAATCAAAAAAAAACAAACTACATAGACCGAATCCATAAAAAAGCCGACTTAATTGGTTTGTTTTGGTTATAATATTTGAAAAACTGAATTACTTGGTTTGATTTCATTTTAAGAAAAATTGATCCAAACCGAATCATGAACATCCCAATCTAACACACTCAAAATCGATTTAGATTCAAAAAATATTACAGATAATTAAATATTCAAATAAGTTAGTGAAGGATTGCATATAGCTGTTCGTAACACGCAGCGGTAGACAATAACAATCCTAGGCAGATCTTTTCGTGTTTAAAATTTATTTCCATGTCAATAGATCGGATCTAAGACGTACCTGGTGAAAAAAGTCTCGTTTCAAATTCTTCGATAGTGTGAAGACTCTATGCGTATCCACATCGAGACCGATCCTTGCTATCAACTCTTTGATCAATGAAACCCGCGAACAAATTGAGCGAAGAATATTGTGTTGAAATTTTTCTCAAAAATAACAACTCAAATTAGAAGAACAAGAAACACTTTTCTTGTAATTGTATTTTCTCTCTTGGCTTTGTATTGCACTCTCACTTTCACAAAGTGGGTTTTCTTCTCACGGAAAAATTATACGGCAAATTTTCTCCATCACCCTTTATATAGCATCACCTACAAACCATTTCCTATTTGGTTGAGATAATGATTTACTTAGGGTAAAAGTTTATTCCAAAAATAAACTTTATGGAGATTTCGTTACTGCCGAACTTTATGGACTTTCCATAAAGTCCAATATCAAATTGGATTATAAAAGTCTTATTAGTATTTAATTACTAAAAATACAAATCCCATTCTTAATGGGTTTAAGTAGCCGACCCGTCCTATTATGGACTATAACGTAATGTCCTTACGGACTTTCAGTTAATCCAATTTCAAATTGGAATTGACAAGTCTTTACTCTTATATAAATACTAATTATATATATCACATATATATACCAAGAGATATAATTCAATTTCTATTTCAAATAGAAAACTTCAATTTATTCATAATATTAATTATATTCCCTGTGCTAGGAAAGAGTATAATAATATTTCATTTGGACTAATAACTTTATTTATTTGACTAATTAAATTCTTTAATTTACTTATCAAATATAAAGTAATTAATCCTTTAGCAAAGATCAGAACACTTGTTAGTGTGCGACCCCATAGGTTCAATTCTAAGCCGGTAGTAAATTGATCATATCAATATTCTAATCAAGGGTGGCGTCTAGCAACACTCCTTAACGACCGGATAGAATGAAGTATACAATTTAGTCTCAAGAACCAGTAGAAGAATAATGTAGTTATTCCTTCTGTCCTTATAGCTCTGGATCACCCTAGGATATGGTTCAACTGTCAAATCCTAATAGGTGACTAACTATGTGTTCATGTCAAGTATAATCGACCATTGAATGACCTAAGAAACTCTTTTCTTCTTTCATTCAATTGCCCCGGCCAAGGTCTTAATTTGGTCGTTTATAATTCATGACAACATGGAGCTTAAACTCATTACCAAGAGTTGACAGATTCCATCTTGATCAATCACTAATTCTACAAGTATTCAATCATACCCAATATCCTTTCAACTATCGCCCTAGGGCCATAGGTGTCTAGTATTGAAGCACAACAAATAACTTTCCAATTACTATGACGATCTCAGGTCAAAGGAAACTCTTACATCACATTCTTCAAGATAATAGCCTATTGACAGTTTATGGTAATTCTAACCATTAGGAATTATCCAATGAGTCGGTTCAATGATCATATCTCTATATGCATCATCTATCTATGTGATTCAGTTAATGAGATCAACTAATCTTTATCCCATAAAGACGATCACATAAATATTGATCTAACCGAATTACTAATGTCCAAATTAATAATCCTACAATCAAGAACAAATTTAGATTAAATTGTAAGAGACTTTGCTCTCATTATCATGATCTTTATCACGATGACAAATCTCAAAATTTAATCAAGGACCTTATCAAATTAATCAAACAATTAATAATAACTATGATAAAAGAATGCCATATATTTTTATATCAAATAACGTTCACAAAAATATGTTCAAATCATCAAATATGAGATTGGGTCTAGGGCATATCTACTATATCCCTAACAATCTCCCACTTGCACTAGAGCCAGTCGCTCTTGTACTTCATTCCCAATTTTTACTTGTGCTTGTCAAACTCCTTTGTACCAAGAGCTTTAGTGAATGGGTATGGAGCATTTTCCTTTCCATCAACCTTTTGAATCTAGACGTCTCCACGTCCAATGATTTCTCTTATCAAGTGATCCCTTCGCATAATCTGTTTGGATTTTTGGTGTGATCTTGGTTCTTTTGCTTAAGCAATGGCTCCAGTATTGTCACACAACAGTGGAACCGCACCTTCTATTGAAAGAACCACACCAAGTTCAGTTAAGAACTTTTCCATCCATACAGCTTCCTTAGCAGCTTCACTAGCTGCTATATATTCTGCTTCAGTCACTGAATCAGCTACTGTAGCTTGTTTGGAACTTTTCCAACTCACCGCACCACTATTTAAGGTGAATACACAACCAGAAATAGATTTGCTATCATCTCTATCTGAAGAGAAACTTGCATCACCATAACCTTCAAGTTTTAACTCAAAATCTCCATAGATGAGGAATTGGTCTTTAGTCCTTCTTAAGTACTTAAGAATGGTCTTCACCACCTTCTAATGTTCCTCACCAGGATTTGCCTGATATTGGCTGGTCACTCCAAGTGCATAAACCACATCAGGATGTGTACATGTCATGGTATACATGATAGCTCCCACTGCACTAGCGTATGGGATCCTACTCATGTGTTCTGTCTCTTCAGGCGTTTTAGGACTATCCTCCCTACTGAGAGTAATTCCAGTGCCTATCGGTAGATAGCCTCTTTTGGAATTATCCATATTATACCTCTTTTAGATGGTATTAATGTACAAAGATTGGGAAAGTCCAAGCAGCTTCCTAGATCTATCTCTATAGATCTTTATTCCCAATATATAAGTTGCTTCTCCCAAGTCTTTCATGGAGAACCGTTCAGATAGCCAAATTTTGGTACTTTGCAATGCCAGTATATCATTCCCTATGAGCAATATATCATCAACATACAATACTAAGAATATAATTGTGCTCCCACTAACCTTTTTGTACACAGAAGGTCCTTCGCCACATATAACAAAATTGAACTTTTCAATTGTCTTGTTAAAGCGAATATTCCAACTTCAAGATGCTTGCTTTAGTCCATAAATGGATCTTTGTAGCTTGCAAATCTTATTATGATCATGCGTAGATGTGAAACTTTCAGGTTGTGTCATGTACACATCCTCTTCTAGCTCACCATTAAGGAAACTGTTTTCACATCCATTTGCCATATTTCATTGTCAGAACCTTGTGTTGCCTCTTCATAGGTCTCAGGGTCATCATCATTATGATCAACTTCATTCGATACATCATCTTGTACTAGTAGATTTAATCTAGTTGGTACATGACGTTCTCATGTAGACTTTCTAAGAGGTTCTTGTACAACTTGTTCACCTTGTGCTGGATTTTGTTGTTGTTCAATTTGGTTTGGAACTGGTTCATTAACCTGTTCTTGAACTACATTTAGTTCTTGAACTTCAACCATTAAAGATGGCAACTTCCTTGTCAACTTCAAAACATCCAATAAAGGTTCTTCAACTTGTGTCTCATGATCTTGATTTTGTGTTGATTCATTAGTTTCTTGAACTTCATCAAGTTCTATTTCTCCACTATAATTTCCTTCCAAAAGAAATTCCCTTTACAAAAAGGTTGCTCCTCTAGCCGCAAACACTTTATGGTCAGAAGGGTGATAGAAATAATATCTCATTGTTTCTTTGGGATACCCAATAAACCTACACTTATCAGATCTTGAGTCAATTTTATTAGACTGCAGTGTCTTAACATAAGCTGGACAACCCTAAACTTTAATGTGTTTAAGGTTAGGCTTACGTCCTTTCCATATCTCATATGGTGTAGTAGAGACTGACTTAGTGGGAACTTTATTAAGTAAGTATGTTGTTGCTTCCATAGCTTATCCCCATAAATTTATTGGAAGATCAGTGAACCCCATCATAGTTCTCACCATATCTAGTAAGGTTCGATTTCTCCTTTCAAACACACCATTGTGTTGTGGTGTTCCTGGAGGTATCCACTGTGAGAGAATCTCATTCTCTTTGAGATACCTAGTTAAATCTTCACTAAGATATTCTCCACCTCTATCAGACCTTAGTACTTTCATCCTTTTACCAGTCTGTTTCTCAACTTCACTACGAAACCTTTTGAACATTTCAAAAGATTCAGATTTATGTTTCATAAAATACACAAATCCATATCTTGACATATCATCAGTGAAGGTGATGAAGTAAGAATATCCACCTCTAGCTTGAATTTTCATGAGCCGACAAACATCTGTATGAATTAGTCCCAATAATTCAGATGCTCTTTCTCCACTTCCAGTAAATGGAGGTTTGGTCATTTTTCCTTTGAGACAATATTCACAAGTTGGATATGATTCAAAATCATACTTGTCAAGGTACCCTTCCTTGTACAACTTGTTAACTCTTTTCTCTCCAATATGACCAAGCCTACAATGCCAAAGATATGTATGATTTACTTGATCATCTCTTTTCCTCTTAAGACTAGAAACATGCATAATCGAATTTGCATTCACATTAGATAAGACATAAACATCATGTTGGAGATAGCCATTCACATGTAAATCATTACCATAATGAATAGAGCAAATACCATTGCCTATGTTAATGCAAAACCCACGCTTGTCCAACATAGAAGCTGAAGAAACCTTGAAAATATTTTTCATTAATGTCTCACCCTGTTTCTTGTCCTTTAGAGTTGCAAGATACTCCTTGCAGTTTCTCTTCCAATGCCCTTTCTTCTTACAGTGAAAACATTAAGCATCATATACTGACTGCAAGATCAAATCTTCAGAAAGCTCTTTACCAAGCTTGTACCCCAACTTCTCATGTTCTTCGGTAAGAAAAATCATATAATTGACAAGGGGTCCAACTAGAGAGTTTTCAATGTCCAACTGTGTATCAACCATCTTCTTAAGATAGTCAATGGTTGCAGTTGGATCCATATTCTGATGTTTCCTCTGGAGTTCAGAACTCATAGAAGCGAGAATGATGTGTTTAATAGCAAGGCATTCTTCCAAGTGTTTCTGATAAACCTTGGTGCCTTGAACATCATTCTCTGGTGAGATTATCTTTGCAGGCTTATCGATCACATCAATGAGCTTTTCATGCATGAGAACAATTCTCAAATTTCTATACCAGTCATCAAAGTTTGGTCCTACCAACTTGTTGGTCTCAAGTATTTCACGCAATGATATAACAGACATATTGAGAAATCTAAAATATAGAAAAGAAAAGGCAATGATATAAGGACATATTTTCATATATCATAAAGACATGGACTTTTATCTAAATGATATTTCCACTAATTATTTTAAACTATTTACCCTCATTATAGTTTATGAAATCTTTATTTCTGTTAGTGGAGTAAAGAAAACCTTTAACAATATGTATGAGCCCCTTGGAAGTCAAGTCGTTTCTCACATATATTTTAAAGGTAGGTACTCTTACCAATTGTATCCCCATACAATTTCCTTAAATAGCTCTATGCCAAATTGTGACGATCCGACCCGTCGTCACGTGAGTTACTGCCCCGTTTTCCTGCTTCTTTATGCTTCATTATAAGATTCTTGTGTGAACGAGTTGATTTGGATTGGTTTTAGAAGGAAATGAGACACTTAGTCTCTTTAAGGAAGGTTTGGTTTGGAAAAGTCAACCGGATGTTGACTTATGAGTTAGAGGGCTCGGATGTGATTTTCGGTGATTCGGTTAGCTTCGGGGGATGATTTGTGACTTGGGAGCGTGATCGGAAGTGATTTTGGAGGTCTGGTGTAGAATTAGGCTTGAATTGGCGAAGTTAGTATTTTGGCGAATTCCGGTTGATAGGTGAGATTTTGATCCGAGGGTCGGAATGGAATTCCGAGAGTTGCTGTAGCTTCGTTAGGTGATTTGGGATGTGTGTGCAAAATTTCAGGTCATTCGGAGGTGGTTTGGTCGAGTTTTTTATCAAATGCGTGTTTCGGAAGTTTTAGAAGTAGGCTTGAATCCGATGTAATTTGATGGTTTTGGTGTTGTTTGTGGTGTTTTGATGATTGGAGCAAGTTCGAATGATGTTTTAGGATGGATTGGTACTTTTGGTTGAGGTCCCGGGGGCCTCGGGGTGATTTCGGATGGCCATCGGGATGAATTTTGGGACTTGTGTTATTGCTGAGTTTTGCTGGTTCTGGTATTTCCGCATCTGCGGAAATAGGACCGCAGATGCGGTCTCGCAGATGCGGTGAGGGGCATCGCAGGTGCGGATTTTGGCTATTGGGGGATTTCCGCAAAAGCGGAGTCCGCAGATGCGGACTTTGACCGCAGAAGCGGTCCTGGCTAATAGTGGAACTCCGCAGGAGCGGAATAATTTCCGCAAAAGCGGAAACCGCAGAAGCGGTTTATTGATCGCAGAAGCGAAAATGTCTGGACAGAAAAAGGGGTTTTAAAGTTTCATTATGTTCCGCGAGCTAAGGTATTTACCACCATTTTTGAACATCCTTGAGAGCTTTTGGACGAGAATTGAAGGGAATTTCGACTGGGATTGATTGGAGGTGAGTTCTATGACCTAAATACATTATTTAATGGTAGAATCAACCTAGAAATTCATGAAAATTTATCAAAAAGGGGGAAGAATTAGGGCTTGAGTTTTGGTATTTCAAATTGGGTTTTGATGGGTCATTGGAGCTCGGATTTGGGAGTTCTTGATATGTATAGACTCGTGGCAAGATAAGGAATCCGTTGATGTAAAATTTGCTGGAATTCGAGAAGTGGGCCCGGGGCTCGGGTTTTGCCAATTTCGTGATTTCGATGTTTTTCGACTCTTTTCGATTGGGTTATGTTCCCTTAGCCTATTGTGATGTATTCGTTGTGGTTTTGATCAGATTCGACGCGCGAGGAGGCCGATTTGAGAGGAAAGGGCATAGCGAGCTAGGATTTTGGCCGGCTTGAGGTGAGTAATGATAGTAAATGATATCCTGAGGGTTTGAAACCCCGGATTTGCACAACGTAGTGCTATATTGAGGTGAAACACGCGCTTAATGACGAGCGCGAGGTTGTTTACTACTGGGGATTATGACTTGGTCCGTCCCGATTGATATTTTTACCGCGTATTTGACTGAGATGTAATTGTTATTAACATGATTTGGGCCTATTGCCATATTTTGGGCTTCATGCCGACTACTTGAATCCTTCGTGGATTTTTATCACTGTTTCCTCACTATTTTGATATACCACTTGAACTCAGTCCTGTTGATTATACTGTTTTACAAACTCAGCTGCTTTAATTGAACTTTGAGACTTAAATGATATTTCCACTGTTGTTTGGAGCTGAGCACTACTATTTTATTGATGCCCGGGGGGCTTATGATGTTTTCTGGACTAAGGAGGCTTTCAGGCCTTGTGAGTGATGTGAGGATGCTTTCAGGCCTTGTAAGTGATGTGAGGAGGCTTTCAGGCCTTGTAAGTGAGGTGAGGAGGCTTTCAGGCCTTATGAGAGATGTGAGAAGGCTTTCAGGCCTTATGTTGATATAGCGCTTGGGCTGTAAGGGGCCCCTCCGGAGTCTGCACACCCACAGTGAGCGCGGGTACCCATATGATTTGAGATTGAGCCCGAGGGGCTGATATTATACTGAGTGACTGATACTGAGCCCGAGGGGCTAATACTGTTCTGAGCGATTGATGCTGGGCCCGAGGGGCAGATTTCTACTCACTATTTACTTGTTGTTTTATCTGATTTACCTGTTTTTAAAAAGGAGATTTCATTTGACCTTATTGTTTTACTGATTTAAGTGATTTACTGCCTGATATAGAATTTCCTTGTGTACTTATCTGTTTTCATGCCTTCGGTTATTATTTATTATTATTACTCACTGGGTCGGAGTACTCACATTACTCTCTGCACCATGCGTGCAGATTCAGGCATAGCAGAGTCTGCACCTGAGCACTGATTCCTTCCAGACCAGGCAGCGAGTTGGAGTTACGAGGTAGCTGTTGGCGTCCGCAGCCCCTTGTCTCCCCTATCCTCTATCATTTATGTTTTCTTTGGACTATTGTATCGGATTTCATACTTTGTAGACTTATAGAAAACTCTATAGTAGCTCATGACTTGTGACACCACGGTTTGGGTTGTGTCGGGATGGTTTCCCTTGTTATTATCGCTGATTCCGCATTATTGGCTATATTAAGCATGTTTTAGAATTGTTAATATTAAATTATTTGATTTAAAAGAGGTGTTTGTGTTGTTCTGGCTGGCCTTGTCTTCATGAGAGGCGCCATCACGTCCGGGTTTGGGAATTGGGTCGTGACACAAATAGTCCCCTGGTAGTCAGGTCGATCCTATTGGCATAGTTGAGTTCAACCATCATGATAGCAGAGAACTTATTAAATTTTATACTCCCCGGGTAGTCCAGGCGTCTAGTAAAAAATTGAATAATTCTTTCAATCCATGCATCAAATGCAATAAATAATTTTAACATATTTTCGAACTATATGTCTCTTGGTAGTCAGACCGCTCCTTATAAACAAGAAATAATTAAAATTATTTACTTTGAAGGATAGCTCTATAATAAAATATCTTATATTTTATTATTTAAGAACTCAAATTTTAGTAAGAGGGAATTGTTACTAAAATAGTTTTAATAACAAAAAGATCAAATCTTTTATAGCATGTGAATTTAGTTCAAGTTGTCTACATGCTTAGTCCTAAATTAATTTACATCTGTGACGACCCAAAGGGTCATCACCTGTTTTCTCTTTCATTCCGTGCTTTCGAGGCCTTGAAAACCTCATTTTTACTTGCCTCGATTTGTGTGCACAGTCCGTGCGTGTAGCCGGAAAGATTATATGTTAAATTCTGTGAAAATTTTCAAAATGTGATTTTAAATGATTAAAGTTGACTTTGGTCAACATTTTTGGTAAACGGACCCGGACCCGTGATTTGACGGTCCCGGAAGGTCCGTAGGAAAATATGGGACTCGGGCATGTGCCCGGAGTCGAATTCCGAGGTCTAGAGTCCGAGAAAAGAATTTTTCTGTGAAATTGGTTTTCTGAAATTATTAAGGAAAATGAAAATGAAAATTGATTAAAAGACTGTGGTATCGGGCTCGTATTTTGCTTCCGACGCCCGGTACAAGTCTTATATATGGTTTAAGCGCTTTCTGTGAAATTTGGTCGAAATTGGACGTCATTTGACGTGTTTCAGACCTAAATATCTAAGATTTGAAGTTTATGGAGTTAGAATGAAAAATGATAATTTTGGGGTTTGATTGATTGATTTTGATGTTGCTTTGGCGATTTGATCGCTCGGTTAAGTTCGTATGAGGTTGTTGAGTTAGTGTGTGTGTTTGGTTAGGAGCCCCGAGGCTCGCGAGTGTTTTCGGAGGTGTTCGGGGTGGTTTTGGACTTAGGATGATAGCAGATTTTCTGCAATTTTTGCACAGTATTTTGCTTCTTCGCGTTCACGGCCTTCAGCTCGCGTTCGCGTACCTGTGGGCTCCCCCTTCTTCGCGTTCGCGTAGTAGTCCCCGCGTTCGCATAGTTCGGCCTCCCCCTTCACCGCGTTCGCGTGTACCCTATCGCGTTCGCGTATAAGCAAATCCCGGACCCCAGCCCATCCTACTATGCGTTCGCGACTACCATCTCGCGTTCGCGATGCCTTGACCCATATACCCTTCGCAAACGCGGCCCCCTTCTCGCGAACGCGAAGGGAATTTTTGCCCAGTAATTTTAAATACCCCAAAACAGAACAGTGACGGGATTTAGTCCATATTTCACACGAGTTCTTCTTCTCCACAGCTCTTGAGCGATGTTTTGAGCACTTCTTCACCAAAGCTTCTTGGGTAAGTAAATTCCCACTCATTTCCTTCATCTTCCTTCATTAATTAATGAGTTTCTAAACCTAAATCATGTAATCTAGGGTTGAAATTGGGGAAAAAGGGTAGAGTTAGGGCTTTTCAATTTTCTTTGATTTAGACCTCGTTTTGGGGTCGAATTTGAAAACAAATTGTATATCCGGGCTCGTGGGGGAATGGGTAACATGGAATTGGTTCGAACCTCGTGTTTTGACCAAGCGGGCCCGGGGTCAATTTTTGGAATTTTGGGAAGAAAGCTTAGAAATTCATATTTAGGCATTGGGTTTAGTTTGTTTAGCTATTTTTAATATTGTAAAGTCATTATTTCATAGATTTGCCTGAGTTGGAGCCGAATTCGAGGGGTAAGCTATACTAGAGGCTTG